TAATATTAAAATTGTAATCTAAATTTATTATCTTTATGGCATGTTATTGTGTATTTTTATTTTCATACACTATTGTTAAATCCAATATAATTTTTAATTGGGGATTTACTTATAAAATATTAATGGTCTTTATATATTTCACAATTTTTTTACTTTTTTGGTTATGTGACTGTTGAAAACGACTTGTGCAATATTATAAATATAAAAATAATCAAACTTACACATTGTTTTAGCTGACTCGTTAAATTTGTACAAGAGAATATGCAGTTACAAATGGTAAAATAAGACAATATTATAATGTTACGATGATATGCATTTTTACCATTGATTCACATGCAGATGTAAATAATAATAATAAAAATACTGCAACTGTAATTGTAATATAATATATAGCATCCGTAAGTAAAATGTATTTTCGTAAAATAATATTTATATTAATTATATATATACACATATATACACATTAATGTGTAAAACACAATTACACAGTATACTCCTATGTTTTTTATATACTTTTTGGCCAGTTAAAACAATGAGTGACATCTTACAATAAGGTCTATATAGTTTTATATATATATGTAACGTAAACATTTTTCAACTAAACGCAACTCAACAATTAATGTAATAAATATTATATATTAACTATTATGTAATATATTATATACTAAGGTAGCACACCAGGCTATCAGGTTAAAAGTAAAATTATGTTTAGCATGTAGTGACGTTAACAATTTAACATAAAATAAAAACGCACATTTTAAACACTAAATTAAAAAAATCAAAATCTTAATTTTTTCAAATCGAAGCAAAACTATAAATATACATTCTTCAATAATGACATATTCTGCGATAGTGGAATTTTCAGATAAAGTGAGGAAAACTTCTGACTGATTATCCTGATGTGCTCTCTAAGTTGTAATATAAACATTATAATACTAACATTATTTTGAAATTAATCGAAAGTAATTATGGAATAAGTGATAAAATATTATTCTTGTCAGACTCTCTGCTATAATAAAAATTGCGACTATGATTATATAGAGTTTGTACTATTATTGCAATGTTTTAACTATATTAATATACATATATATTTATATATTAATAAATGTAAGAAAATCATCATCACAAAATTCACAGAAAATTACAGCAAAATAAAGTTATGACGAAAATAATAACTGTACTCACCAAAAGGTAGCTTCGCCGTCGTCCGATACCTCCCAGGCAGCTGCCTGTCTCGGATCCCGCCATTTCGCACCGACGCAGCGCGACACTCGCAAAAGAGAAGCTGATTACGATCGCGCGTGACATGCACTCCCGGCTTTAATCAACGCAATCTCTACTACAATACCCTAGTAGCACAGTGCATGGCTAAACATTGACTAAATATTGGTCCACTGTTGGTCATATTAGAAATACATTGGCCGATATTGTTTAACGTAAAGCTAACACTTTAAAAATAACCTCTTTTTTAATAAAAATAAAGATTAAAAGATGCCAAGTATTGTATATAATACATATATAAGTGTCATCCAATCAAAAATTATATTATTTAATTATTTAATTATTTGGATATCTTTTATTAGAAAAAAACATTTTATCTTCTCGCCCCCCCTCAAAGTATCTTCTCTACAAAGGTAATGATATCAAATGGTGCTAACTAAACTGAATATTTATACAAACTAGGTACTTTATTATTTTTTATATTAGAATGTTATATCCAAACAATATCAAGCATAAAATTTTATCCAAAGAAATAAAGGAAATAATATTAGTATTAATAATAATATTAATGAGACAAATTTTTAATACTTATCCAATCATGCAAACAAATTCAATACAAATAAATATTTTATTAAAAGATCGCCTTTTCTAATTTAATTATGGTATACATATTGATCTTAATTCATGACATTATTGTTTATTAAAAAAACTCGGCGCTGCTAAACCACTGAAATATACAGGAAGAGGCTCCACAGTATAAGTGGACACCGTGCAAATAGTCACGGTGCAAATGGACACGGAATATTGCACACGGTTCATTTGGACACAGAGAAGCTGCACACCGTAAAGTTAAATACGGCGCAAATGGACACCGTTTTTTTTAAAAAGTTGCAGACCATAATGTTGGACACGGTATAAGTGGACACCGTAAACTTGAACACGGGGCAGGTGGACACCACTCATTTGCACACGGTAAAAAAGGAAT